TGGGGTAATAAAGGCCGATTTCCATATTGCTGGAACAGTGCACTCATGTAAAGAACGCTTAAAAAGAAGGTATATTGGCAAAACTATGCCATCAGAGCAACCAACGATAAATCTGGCAGGCAACTGGTCTGGACCAGCTGATTTAGATAGATCAAGATTAAGAATTAACTTATGTATTTCGGCTTGGTCCAAGTAGATGTTGTTTAAGTGAGAAGTTGCGGTGAAATGCTCATCGGCTACTCTAGGTGTCAGATTAACAGAGATATCACAGTCAAGAAAAGTAGATTGGAAATAGTTAGAAAATGCACTGCAGACTCCCTCAGCCGAACTTGAGATCACATTGTTATACGAGACAGATCCTGGCATTGAATTACACTTAGACTTTGATTTAACGTAAGACCAGAACTTTTTAGGATCATTTCCTATTGAAATTTCAAGAGAGTCAATATAATCATTGTAACAATTAGTTTCCTACTTTTTGACGAAGAATGTTGCTGATAACTTTATTTCTGTAATCTGACGAAGCATGTTGCGGATAATAACATGTACTTTTAGGTTAGGAATATTGTGTTCTTTTTTTTATAATATTAGTTTCCAGTACTCTAACCCTGTCCCGAAGCACATTAAAAGAGTTTAGATCAGATTTATTTCCTTAGTTTGAATATTTACGTTTATATTTATATTTTTCTTTGATAGCTTTTTTAAGAGCAGCTGAATACCAGACTGGGTAATGATCAGAGCCAGTCACGCGAGATGGTACATATCTCTCTTTAAGGTCGTTAACTGTCTCATAAAAATAATCAGTACAGCCCTCCAAAGATCTTGACTGAAATTCAACACACCAGTCAATATTATTAAGCTCTCTATTAATTGACAAATAATCACCTTTATTGAATCGATAGTTAGTGCGCGGTGCAGTTCTTAGAGTTACAAGTTCAATACATTTGAACGTAATACCAAGAGCCTCCTGATACGGATCAATCGGGACCATTGGATCAACACACTTACTCACAACCAATGATTCATTTGAAAATACTAGATCCAGAATCCTATCATCCTTATTAGTTATCCCATTGTACTGAGCAAAGTCGTGAATATGCATTTCATCTACAAGCAATAATTCATCACTACTACGAGCATTATAAGGTGTAAAGTAACCAAGATTAGACGGCAGCCACGTAATGCCGCTCAGATTAAAATCACCAACAAGTAGGAATTTATCAAGTGAATTATCCAAAACAATGTTGGTGAGTTTCGTAAGATAATTAGTTAATTGTTCAGAGAAAGAAAACCTAGAACCCTGTTTGCATAAGTATAATACACATATATATATATATTTTTTTATTGCTTAGATGTGTGGACGAGCTCACAGCCCACCTGGTGTTAAGTGGTTACTGGAGCCCATAGACATCTACAACGTAAATGCGCCACACACCTTGAGATATAGTTCTAAGGTCTCAGTATAGTCACAACGGCTGCCCCACCCTTCAAACCGAAACGCATTACTGCTTCACGGCAGAAATAGGCGGGGCGGTGGTACCTACCCGTGCGGACTCACAAAAGGTCCTACCACCAGTAATTACGCAAATTATAATTTTTGCGGGTTTGATTTTTATTGCACGATGTTATTCTTTCACCGTGGAAGTCAATCGTGAACATTTGTTGAGTACGTATTTCATTAGAAAAATTGGTACCCGCCAGCGAGATTCGAACACCAGTGCATCGCTCGATACGAATGCACTGGACGTCTTATCCTTTAGGCCACGACGACTTCAAAATTTCGAATGCAGTTTAATAGTTTCACGTTTCAACTTAACGATGAGTGTAACCCACAAATCTTCAACCGATGAGTTAAATGACGGCTGCAAGCTAACTTTTAAATCTTTACGAGTCGCAATCAAAACACCGCCACCCCGAGATTGACCCGTAAGGTCACTGTTCCTATCCCCACGCCAAACTGTATAATGTTCATTAAATAATTCGAAGATGCCATCAGTCAACCAAGTCTCAGTTAAAATAATCACATCATAAGAACACAATAGCAGGTTACGGCTAAACTCAAGAACTTTCGTCCGAAGTCCACGAACATTTTGGTAGTAGATATGAATACTATTCAGGACTGATTCATTGTCCATTGTAAGAAAATAGTTAATAACATAGTAAGTAAAATTATTATTAAAATTCTTGTTTTTGGCCCATGTTTTCACTTTTGTGAGAAGTTGCTTCGAATCACGAGTCAGGTGGTCATTCACGAAGATACGATTAGAAACAGTAAAACCAATGTCCTGGGCATTAAGAAATTTTAGTGCACGAGCAGCGGCGACAAAATCTTCCTTTGTGTACCTATTGTGGAAGTTTAGTATGATGAGTTTGTCAGCCGATCCAAATGTAGGTACCCTCGTAACATGGTTGATGTCAGCCCTGGAAAAGGACACGCCCAGCCTCTGGGAGATGTTCTCGACGATTATAAAAAGGTTTTCGTTCTTCCTTACAGGAACGCCCTTGATCTCGACATTATTAAGCCTAGCTCTCTGCTCCAAAGCATCGATCTTTCCCTGCATTTTCCGCATCGCTGATTCGAGACATTCAACAGACGACTGAGTACGCTCAATCACTGGGAGCTTGCTTTCAATCTCAATAAGCCTAGCGTCACACTCAGATACCTTTTCTATGTTTTGAGTGACGGACTCACGCAGCAATGACAGTTCTTCACGTATATATTTATTACTTCCTGATGCAGCAGAGATAAACTATTTAGTTTCGTTTTGACGCCGCATAATTCAGCGTGGATCATTTCTAGCGTCACTAAGCCCTGAACTGGAGAGACTGGGCTGGCCTGTGAAGCAACCGCTTGCGAAGGGTTTCTGCAAGCAGAACACTTCCATGCCGCCCTTCTTTCGGGGCCCAGTTTTCTATATCCAGCTTCTGTAATATTAGCGCATCCGAAGTCAAAATGCTTCTTGCACGTACCGCATTGAACACCATC